GTGAGGCTGCGTGGGCTGCTCCGAGTGCTCGGCCACCTAGCGTCGGCGTCTGTAAGCGTGCTCGTATCTCAAAGCAAAAATTTGCTCAAAGGCTGGCTCATATCTTGTGGTTCCACTGTATATATATATATATATATATTAATACAATTACAAAATATTTCTTTAAAAATTGCATTTTAGCAAATGTTATGGATTTTGTTTTCTGGCGTTCATTTTCTCCCCCTGCAGGAGATGCATTCATTTAACCATTGTTTACTCACACAACAAGGTGTTTATCAGACCACACCATTGGTCTTAGAGTCAACCAGGAAAAAGGACCAGAATGCATTAAAATGTAAGGTTTCCTGCAGGAGTTGAAATTCCGTTCTTTGGCCAAAGGCAGCCCAATAAATTCCTGACGAAATGTTTTTTCTTTATTTTTTTCTGAATGCTCTTTGAAAGAGAAATTCACACTCACGTTCACACTATGGTTTAACTGAGTTTTTTTTTGTTTTTGGGAGGTAAGAGAACAAAATGATGCCAGCTTTTTAACGAAAGACCAAATTATGTCCTAGTGTATATGCAAACCGATGACCTTCTGACTGTGAGGCAATACGGCAAACCACTGAGACAGGTTCCCCAGTGGTTATTTGGAGGTTAAAAGTCAGTTTCCAGTGGTACACACTCTTGTGTTACTTTGGGTATGTGATAAAAAGAAAAAGAAAAAAGCTGTAGGCGTAAAAAAGGATGAAAATCCAATTCAAACACCTCCAGGAAACATCTAAAACTCAGACATTTTATGTTCTGGACTTCAGGCCATGAGCAGAATTGATGGAACAACGGATGTGGTTCCAGCCTGCAGGAGTTGTCAGGGTCAGTATTTACTCTGCTGGACCTGGTCCAAGGACATCGCTGATGTCCAGTCCATCATCTGTCTCCGCCACTACATTCATTTAATGTACAGAATTGTGTCTGTACTGTAGCTGCACATGTGTTGAATCACACACACACACAAACACACACACACATTGAACAAACATGTTCATCAGCCAGCAGCACGGGAGCAGCTCAGAGAGGCTGAATAAAAAAAACACACAATCTCTCACACACAGTGGTGCAGGATGCTCTGTTTGATAAAAGGATTAGCGGATTTATAGCTTGGTCACATGATCCTCAAAGAAATCGCAATGAAATGTAAAGTGACAGGCGTCACATGACTGTGACGAGACACCCGGCCATGTGTGGTATGAAGACGCTAAAGAGAAAAAGCAGCAGAGGAGAGAAAAATGATTTGATTACATAACTCTGGAGTTACTACGATACCAGTGGTATCAGGAATATTATTAAATATATTTTCAAAATACACACTGATAACCACCGATTTATATTAACATTAAATACGACACAAAAATGTATCGTGTTCAATTATTTCACACAAATGGTGCATCACTGTGCAAAAGTGAACCTTAACTTAGAATTACCGTAAAATGACAAAATACATCCAAATATTACTATAAATATTTGCTCTCTTGATGTTTTTGTTTTGGGTAAACACCTGAGGGTCGACTGCTTCCACTGTGGTGCTCGGGGGCCAAATTACTATGTTGCATTTTAACATGTTCAGCACACAGCAATTGTTTTTGTTTCATTGTCAATCAAATTGAGCACATAACCTTTTATTATTAAATATTTATTGTGACATAAGAGGTGTGAACATTGGGAATGGCACCGTACGCTTTGGGTATTTTTTTAAATATTTGCAGGTTATTGCACGCTGTAGGAGAAGAATTGCACCATGTACTTGCACAGTATGATTAGTTAAGTCTGTTTGTTCTCACCGGTCAGCTATAAGTTATTCACTTAGAAGAAGACGACGATGTTCTTATAAAACCAGTGCTGTCTCTCTTTATATCTCCAAAGTATTTGTTTGATTTCATGTGTACTACACATGCTGAGATTCCACAGTCGGTCTGATATATTTGATGAATGTGTGCGACATATCAAGTCTTTATTATCAGTCATGAACATGTGTCGCAAAGAAAATGTATAAAGTAAGGCAGGAAGTACTGTGCCGCAGAAGACGTGCCATGAGGTTCATGACTGACACTACTGAGCTCCACATTAGCAATCAGAAACACATGCACGTCGCTGGGGTAATGGGTTTGAAAAATAGCAATCTGAAAAGTAATTAAACCTGCCGAACAGGTTGTTCTGTGGTGGGTGTTTCAAATGAAAATAAATAGAAACGGTATTAGAATAACTTTTATAACGTTTGTATGATGTGTCCACAACGAGGGGCATTCAGGTATCGTCGGAGATTTGAGAGTCTGACAAAATTGGCTAAGTGCTGTGATGCTTAATCCTGGGGGTATTTGGACCAAAGCATGTTACTGACCTTTCTTTTAGACTGATTTAATAAGAAGAAAGGGGGAATGATATGTCACCTTTAAGAAATAGCAATAGAACATTCTTTTCCCAGTTTCCCAGTGACTTATATTCCAGTGCACTTATATTCTGAATTTTACTGTACGACACTGAAATATAAACTTCTATTTTGGGGTTCATATATTTCTACCTAACCAGGCATGAAACTCACTGATTGGTTCCAGCTCCTCACATGACCAGGATTAAGTTGCCGAGGATAAATAAATGAGAATGAATAAAACCTTCGAACACTGTCAGAGTTAACACCGCTGACGTGCATGAGTTTAGTACGGACGTAGACATGACCTTAGACAGGTGCATCTACTGCCACATTGACCCAACACAGGTGATGTATGAACGTGTAAAGACAGATGACACACAAACACACAGGAGGACAATAAGGTGTGAGGACATGGTTGAAACGGATCATTTCCTCTTGTTAGCTCTGTCCTTATCGATTGTCCTCTCCCTGTGGACCACAATCCCCTCCACCCCATTGAGTCCACATGAACCACCTGTGCACAGCCATTCCCATAATGCCCTTCCCATCTAACGCGGCCCCTTTGTCACTCAGTCCACCCCCCTCTCCAGACCCCACTCCCCAAACCCTGGGCTCGTCCATTTTGTCCTAAACTCGCACACAGTTTGATTTTGATAAGAATCACCTGTCATTGATGTTGTATCCATCTTTGAAGCTCATCTCGCTCCATCTGTCCTAATTGTCTTTATGTCTTCCATCAATCACTTTTATTATTAATACTCCCTTCCAGGCTGAGCAAACACACACACACATATATACACACACACACAGTGTGCGATTCTGTGGTTTTATATAATAAAATATCATTTTGAATTTTCCACAGCACCATCCTGAAAACCCTGATCACACACTGCCCTCTTGGTAAAGAAGTGCGTCACTACAAGCGTTATATGGGATGTACATTACGTTACATAGAAGCGGAAGTCAGAGAGCTGTAAAAACATTTTAAAGTAGCATAACTATTTATCCACATTTCCTACTACTATCCAAAACTGAACGGGTACACGGATGGACCGTACCTCGCTCTCGCCAGATAGCTGCTGGGATTGGCTCCAGCCACCGACCTACACGCCCGCCTCAAAAAAATATTAAGATGCAGAAGTTGGAACGAGTCTATCTCATCTTTGTGAGTTTGCTGCCCTCTGCTGACCATAGAGGGGAACCTTAATTTATTGTATCACGTAAAACAGCGATCTGTGAGGTTTAAACGGAAGCGCAAAGTTGCTGAGTCACCTCGACCTTCACCCATTCTCCAATCACTCGCCCGTCAATTCTTCAGCATCAACCAGGGGATCAATAACTAACAGACTATATTACTTTGGTCAACATTTATATTGGTTCATACTGAATGTTAGTGTTAACAAAATAAAAAAAATGGGTACAATTTATTGCTGCTGCTGTTGTTGTTGTTGGTGGTAATAGTAGTAGTCCTTAGTGTCCTTTATTATGTCAGACTTGTATCAGAGTCTGCACGATCTTTTCACTTTTACCTAACCTGCTCAGTCCTCCAGGACACTCCAAACCTGACGTAAACCCTCTGAGGCGCCACAATGAATGGGCCGCTGTTCTCGGGGCCGACGCTCGAGGGCGCTGTTGTCGCTATCCATACCCATAAGCGGGGGAGTGAGAGGTGCATGAAATGGAGAAAAATGGCGGATCATGTGCAGGTAAGTGGAGGTTTCATGTTTTTGTCACCGATTCTTCCACTTGGAACGCGTTAATGGGTGTGAGCGCAGATTGCGGCGCAGCGCTGCTGCTTCGGAAGCCGTGCGGCACCGCTGCGGGTTCGAGATGACCGTTCCCACGCTGCTGTGTGACGGTTAAAGAAAGGATGTGGCCGCCTGTGTATGTTGACTTGTGGCCTGCTGTCATTGCTGCTGCTGCCGCTGGATGCTGAGGGTTAGCTAACCTGTGCTAGCAGTGAGCTAAAGGGATGGTATGGGGCTATGTCATACAGAAGGCAGTCTCTGAGTTCTTGGCTCAGTATCTCCGGGATTCCTGGTTCTTGTGCAGGTTCAAGGCTGGTTACCGGCAGCTTAATGCCGCCGGTTAGCAGTGTGTTTTGGTGAAGTAAACAATAAAAGCAGCGGTTCTCCGCCGACATGTAGCCGCTGTCAGGCTAACGTTGTGTGGTTACTGATAGTTTATCGCCAGCGAGCGACACATTTTTTACGTTTATGATATAAACTCACTTTGACTTGTTTTGGTTGATCTTTTCAAACACAACTTTATTGATTAATATGTAGTATCACAGAAATAAAGCAAGCTAAAGGGTTAGCTGGCTACGCTAATGTTAGCTCCAATCTCCAGACGTCAACTTCTCCCGCCCGAGCTCGTTTGAAAACACGGTTCGGTTAATTGGATCGGACCTCAAGTCCCGTCCTGCAGACGTGATGGGGGTGAAATGGGGATGTTCTGTTTCCCCGGGGGGTTTTAATGTTTTTAACCTCTGTTGAGTCAATGTGGCTGAAAGCAACCGCTTCGAACCGACACATGTTTGAGATCCGGAGGAGCAGGAGCATGCTAAACCTTTGGGTCTGCTCCTCATTGCTGCTCTTCCATGATGTACCATAACCGTAGATGCAGTGAGGGTTTGTCGCGAAGCAGTGAAAATGTAAACATTCAGTTTTAGTTTCAGGAGAGGCACTGCATTCCCGACTATTCCCTGGAATTAGCTCTTTAATTAAGCAGCGTTGCAAGATCTGTGCTATAAAAGCTGTCCTATCCAAACAACCCGAAACAAAAAGTTTTAAGTTTTTTTTTACTAGAGAGAAACACTATACGATACTATAAATACTATTTATACAAGTTTGTGAGAAAATATGATTAAAAAAAATGACTACCTAGAAAGAAAGACTCCCTGGAAAGGGTGTAGTCTGAAACCACCGCTTTAGTTATTTAGTAAGAACAAGTTGTGAGGTTTGAAAGTAATTGGCTTATTTTGATTGTAATAGACTTTCAGGTGTGCTATGAATGATCACTAAATGTGAAAGAGTATCATGATCTTCATTTTAAGGTGGTAATGTGATTCATCATTTAGTTTACTTTCAAATTGGCTTCATGTTTTATTGAAGAAGTCTTGAAATTAATAACTAGGGAACTAGGATGTCAAACAAAATGTCAGCTCCCTTATTAAATCATATACAAAGAAGCCTAACTATTCCAGTTGAAGTTCTGCTTAGGCACTGTTGTCGGAGTTGTTGTTTTTTTTAACCATATCAACGCAGTCACAGATTTTGCTGCAAAACTCCACTGAACTTTATTTAAAACACAGTGCTACTTACACATTGCTTTTTCATTGAAAAATATATATTTTTAATAATTAGTCATGCTGCATGAAATGTATTTCTTAATAAACTGTTTCAGCAGTTCTTTTGAAAACTAGCAATCAGGGTTATGTCAAAAGCTGGAAAGAACTAGAGGAAAATAGCATGAATATAATTCACTGGTGTCACAATATTTAAAACCTGTTTTGTTTATCAAGTCATTTCTACTGCTCTTACAGTTGTCCTTTAGTCTGTTGCTTTTGTTGGACATTGGATTTGCATTTACAATTAAGGATGTCACCTTGAAACTCTGTGTAAAAGTTCAATTTGAGTTTATTGCCTTTGGATATGTACTGTTGCTTTTTTGTGTGAAGAAGCGAAGGTTAACATATTAATATGTTTTGGTCATGGACCACCTGGGTGTATATGATTATGACATCATCTGTGGTGAGATGCAATATCAGTGTGACTAATGGAGCAAAGTATTGAGTTTGAGCTCTTATCTGTGGTCAGCAGGGTCTTTGACACTGACGCTGTGCTCCAAACTCCTCACCTTGTCAGTGAATGCATCACCATTATGAAACAAGACCTGAGCCCCCACCTCCCTCCTCCAGCACCACTACCACCACTGTTACCTCTTCACTTTTAAATCCAGGCTTCCATCAACGCTGACTTTGTTTTGAACCTGGCAGATTCCACCATGCTGAATGTATTTATGAGTTTATGAGTAATGGGCTGTGACTCTGCAGATTTTGTGTTTGGAACATGGAAACAACAAACGTAAGAGTGCAGCAATGTTTTGTTATTGTTTGTAAAGTAAGAAAATGTCTTTTCATAACTTCATTTGAGAATTACTTTTATTGTAGCACACTGTATTGATAAATTATGAAATTCTAGTGTTTATGAAATAGAATTTTGGGGGGGGGGATATGGAAGTTGTCAGTTTCAGGAACCCTTATCATTAACAAGGGAAAATAATTGTCATTGATTAAAAACAAAAGTAACTGGCTACAGAGAAATGAACATTTTGTAAATAGGATGGTGTTAAATCTAATTGATTAGTCGTGTGGTCCATTAAATGTAAACAAGGTAGGAAATGTCAGCTCTATGATAATAACCTCTGATGTGGTATCTTCGACACAAACAAAACAAACCAGAAAATATTCACATTTTAGAAGCTGAATTTTGAGAACTTAGTTGAATTTAAGAGTGAGCTGTAGTTTTAGCACTAAATTGTGAGACAGATCTTAGGTTGAAACTATTTTAATATGTTCCTTTCTCAATGTACCTTTTGATGTATGATGGATCTTTTTAAGTTGATGGCTAACCTTAAGTTCATGTTCTTTGAGGAACACACAGTTCTCTCCAGATGGGTTCTTCTCTGTCTCTGGTATCCACTGATAAGTTCCTTATCATCCATGTGCATCTCTGCTTGTCACTTTGTCAGGGCCTTGCCCAGCTAGAGATCCTATGTAAGCAGCTATATGAGACGACTGACACCACCGTCCGACACCAGGCGGAGAAAGCTCTGGTGGAGTTCACCAACAGCCCTGACTGTCTCAGCAAGTGTCAGCTGCTGCTGGAGAGAGGAAGTGTGAGTCCAACGTGTCCAGTTCACGCCTCCATTTTCTTCTCATGTGACGTTTTATTGACATTGGTCTTAATGTTGCATTACTGCCTCCTATGTCCGGCACAATTGACCTGCAGGCCTGTGCAACACATATGAACTATATCAGTAGTTTACCGCAGTCAACACATGCACAGTATTTCAACGACGCATCCTTCTTCACCTGCAAAAACATTCACCTAATTTAATGGCTGGATAAAACCAGACTTCCACCACAAGAACTAAAACATATTACAAAGGTTAATAATTAAACAGGATTTGCTTTAAAAGACTAGATGTTAGGTTTGGTTTATGGGACTTTTAAATTAAGAGAAGCTCCAAACCCACAAACATTAGGTTTTTTCAAGTCAGCCTTAGAGAACATTTAGTCAGTTGTTTTTCTTTTTTAATATTTTTTAGAATCTTAATTTGTTAAATCATGTATAGGGATGTTACAATGTACCACAAATCGGTTAAAAAGTGAGACACACATCAAGGTGTTACGAGTAGGCTGAATTATCTTAAAAACAAAACAAGACGTCAGGTCCCAACATAATATAAGTGACATTCAGGTGTTCAAACAGATCGTGGGAAGAACTTTTTCACAGACACAAACATTGTTTCACTCTTTCTAGTTAATGTATTTTTTATTCTCTTGTTTAATATATTGACAGTTAACAAAGTAAATTAGATTAGATCCGTTTTACATTTAATGAAGAGATATATTTAATAAGAGGTGTTTCTGTGAAGAAATTTCCATTTTTTATATATCATATTTCAAGATGACAATTTCACTTTGTGAGGTACAAAAGATTTTTCATTTTTACATTTCATTACAGGTAATGGTATTTTGCATAGTTTTTTCCAAAAAATTGTGATTAAATTGTATTGTGATCAGAAAATTGTGAATCATATTGTATCCTGAGGTGAACTCATTGTGACATCCCTAATAATGTGTAATTATTCATTTTATTATAAAGTCACACTTTGTGGTATATTGGAGGGCACAGTTTGTTTGTTTTTTTTACTAGAATTATTATGCTAAATCTTAGCCTGTGGCTTGAGCTCAAGGCCCAATTAGGTTTTTGTCACTTCTTTCAGTTGAACTTTTATTTATCTAGCTAATTTTGTTGTGTTTTTCCTACGATAGTCGTCATACTCTCAGCTCCTTGCGGCCACCTGTTTGTCGAAACTGGTGTCTCGAACCAGCAACCCTCTGCCTCTTGAGCAACGCATTGACATCCGTGAGTTTTTCCTCTGCCGCCAAAACATTTCGTCAGTTCTGCTGAAGAAGTGTGTCAGACTTGAGGTTGACTGAAGCTGCCATCATAAATGTTTCTCTACTGCTTAGGGAACTATGTTCTGAATTATTTGGCCACGAGGCCGAAGTTAGCGACATTTGTGACCCAGGCGCTGATCCAACTATATGCTCGGATCACCAAACTGGGCTGGTTCGACTGTCAGAAGGATGACTACGTTTTCAGGAACGTCATCGCTGACGTGACGCGGTTTTTACAGGTAAGGATGTGTATGAGTGGTCACATGACCAAGCTCTGGAGCGAGGCCATGTTTGTATGTTGCTGTCGCAGCTGCTGAGGTTTGACTGTTTTGTGTTTACAGGACAGTGTTGAACACTGCATCATCGGCGTCACAATCCTGTCCCAGCTGACCAATGAGATTAATCAGGTATTTCCACATTGTTTATACTGAATGAATAAACTTTAGCGAGCTTTAAAAAGAACAGGGAACTCTGCGCTCCTCTCATCTCGATTAATGTTTTCTTTTTAGGCCGACACAACACATCCTCTGACAAAACACAGAAAAATTGCGTCATCGTTCAGAGACTCCTCCCTCTTCGACATCTTCACTCCTTCCTGCAATCTGCTCAAACAGGTGTGTCTTGTCTAATCTCAATCGGAATTTTATTCTCTCCCCCTGCATTTGTGGCTGATTTACAGCCATATATTTATGTTCATGAAGAGCTTGGAAAAAGTTTTTCCTTTTTTTGAGTTGTATTAAAATATACTCGGTATGTATCTCCAGGCTTCGGGGAAGAACCTAAACCTCAATGATGAGTCGCAGCACGGCCTCCTGATGCAGCTGCTCAAACTCAGCTACAACTGCCTCAACTACGACTTCATAGGAACTTCCACGGACGAGTCGTCAGACGACCTGTGCACTGTACAGATCCCCACATCATGGAGATCAGGTGTGTTGGCAGGGGGAAACACTGAGACACTGAGAAAGAACTGGCTTTGCTGCAGCGTGGACAGCTGGAGTTGTCTGAAGCACAGCACTTAACCTCTGACCTTTGTCTCTCCTGCAGCATTTCTCGACTCCTCAACTCTGCAGCTCTTCTTTAATTTGTATCATTCCATCACTGCATCCTTGTCTCCACTGGTGAGTGACAGCTGTCAGAACAGTTTTTTTGTTGTTTCCACTCAAACAGTCAACTTAACAGTAGGGAACGAATTCTGACAATAGAGATTACTATCTTCTGTTCTCGTCCATACACTCAATAGGCTGATTGACACACTTTATCCCTACACTCCCAATTTATGTGTAATTTGCTGCACCCATTTTTGCAATAGCTTCACGCCCCCTTCTTTGGTTACCACAGTATGAGACTATTTGTGTGAATAAATTACAATAAATACAAGCCTAAAATAAGTGTGAAAATCTTCATAAACTAGTTTGTTATCATAATAAATAAAACAAAAATACATTTTTGTTTTATTATTATTTTAGGCTTTGAAAAGTAGTGTAACTTGATATAAAAAGAAGTCAGAGTCTTTGTTTGTTTATCTTTTTATGCCTTACAACTAAGGATGCACGGTAACTTTTTGTAATCCTTGTGCGGTCCTTCGCATTTTTGTACACACCGTTTGTCCTCGCAATGATTTTCATCTTGTCCCAGAATATGAGTATTAAAGAATATGAGTAAAGGTGGCACATGTCGTGCAGTTTTAAGACGGGGTGCATCTGCAAAGAACTTCTCCACGTCGGGTTTAATTTATCTCCTGAAATCCAAACATCTCGATTGCTATGCTGAATATAAGAGGAAGGAAAGCCACTTTGCGTAAAAGCTAATCTTGGCTGCATACAGCGTAGACCAGGAGCTTCCTGTGACATTCACGTCGACCATTTGGTCTTAATAGAGAACATTCTCTCTCTTCTTGCCCTGTTTGAGCAGCTAACTAAAGAGATCAGCTCCTCTGATGCATCTGTAGCAGATGTTATTCCTTTAATCGCAGCAGTAAAGCGTCTTCTAAGGAAACAGGTTGACACGGACCACGGAGTGAAAACAATGAAAAGTCCACTCAGAGTCTGTCAGCACACATTTCACTGAGATCTGTTCAGATCCTCTGCACTTCGTCGCGACTGTACTTGATCCACATTATAAGGATCATTACTTGGATGGGAGAATAAAGCAGCGCACACGAGAAATGATCCAGCGATTGACTGAAATGCACTTTGTGTTTATATCAGATGAGATTGAATCTTAATATCTTTCAGCAGGCCAGTTGGCCTGTACATTATCATTTAATGTACACAAGTGGGGTCAGGTTTAACATTTTACTTTGAATTCTATTTAATTTTATATTGAGCATTGTTGAAGTTTTGTAATTGTTTTATCTTTGAAACAATATTAATTTCAGCAATTGCAGTGCCTTGATTTTATTGAGGTTTAGTACACAGTCATAGCCATCAATGCAATGGTACTAATAATTGGCATAATGTACTTCAGTGTTTTGGTTTTCAGCCTTGGTTTCCTCATTTTTAATTTTTTTCTAATATATCTATATATATATAAAATACGTGTGTGTATACATATAAGTTTACAATTATATATATAAATCAAATTTGAACCACTGACACAAGGTAGAGTTAACGAAAATAATATGATAAAATAATCTTCAACAGTTCTTGTGCTGATATCACCAGTTGACATATATTTTCTGAAGCCATGCGCTATGATATTAAGCAGATGCACGTGATGCAAAACGCTGTCAAAGCCGGCAGACTTGAGTGTGTAATTAATTTCAGAGCAAAATAATTAGGTCAAAACTGATTTAATATAAAACACATAGTCAGCAACTACCAGCTTTCTAACCATTTGTTTTAACCGAATATACTGATGCCACTTAAACACAGCATTAAGGCCTGCAACTTGGGTAGAAATAGGAGCACCTGAATTACAAAAAAAAAAAAAAACACCCACACCACCGTGCTGACCATATTATATTGTGTATATTATCGGGGCTTTTTGTTATGATATCGGACTTTCGGGAATGACGTCATTGTTTCCTGTAGTCTTGCTTACAGCGGAGCCTCTGCAGGCTCTGTAAAGGCCCACTAATGTGAACACGTGCATGTGTTCTTTTTCAGGTGTTGTCATGTCTGGTCCAGATTGCCTCGGTCAGGAGGTCCCTCTTCAACAATGCAGAGCGAGCGAAGTTCCTCTCACACCTGGTGGATGGAGTGAAGAGGATACTGGCCAACCCACAGGTCTGTAATGACCCTGTAGCACTGCTCTGTCCGTTTTTTAGTAGCTGTATTTACTGAGGAGAAATTAATGCATTAGCCGGCCTAGCATTGATCATGTTCTTAGTGCACTACAATACAGTGGCGGTTACCTTTTTTTTCTTTAACCACAAGGAAAGAGAATTAGAATTAGCCAAGTGAATATTTTGTGTTTAAAGTCCAAAAAGTATTTTATATTAATATTTCAAAAATCACCCAAAACCATGAGTGAGGGGTCCAAAAAGTATTTTTTCAGGAATATATCAAAAATCACCAAAAAGTCCCCACAATGCCTTAAAATGCAAGATTATGTCCTAAAACATGCTGCCAAGTGAATATTTTGTGTTGAAACGTCCAAAAAGTATTTTATATTAATATTTCAAAAATCACCCAAAACCATGAGTGAGGGGTCCAAAAAGTATTTTTTATGAATATATCAAAAATCACCAAAAAGTCCCCGAAATGCACTAAAATGCAAGATTATGTCCTAAAACATACTGCCAAGTGAATATTTTGTGTTTAACAGTCCAAAAAGTATTTTATATGAATATTTCAAAAATCACCCAAAACCATGAGTGAGGGTTCCAAAAAGTATGTTTTATGAATATATCAAAAATCACCAAAAAATCCCCAAAATGGACTAAAATGCAAGAATATGTCCTAAAACATGCTGCCAAGTGAATATTTTGTGTTTAACAGTCCAAAAAGTATTTTATATGAATATTTCAAAAATCACCAAAAAGTCCCCGAAATGCCTTAAAATGCAAGATTATGTCCTTAAACATGCTGCCAAGTGAATATTTTGTGTTTAACAGTCCAAAAATATTTTTTTATGAATGTTTCAAAAATAACCAAAAAGTCTGCGGACTTTTTTTTTTTTCTACCTTTAATTCATACATACTGTTGTCTTTTATTCCAGTGTTTGCCCGACTCCAACAACTACCATGAGTTCTGTCGCTTGCTGGCGAGGCTGAAGAGCAACTACCAGCTGGGAGAGCTGGTCAAAGTAGAAAATTACCCCGAGGTGATTCGGCTCATAGCCAACTTCACCGTCACCAGTCTACAGGTGGGTTGCTGCCACACATCTACGCCCTACTGTATATGAACTATTGAAATGGTTGTAGGGCTCATGACTCTCTCCACCTGTGTGTGTCAGCACTTGGAGTTTCCCCCCAACAGTGTCCACTACCTGCTGAGTTTGTGGCAGCGTCTGGCAGCATCAGTTCCTTACGTCAAAGCCACAGAGCCTCACCTACTGGAGACGTACACGCCAGAGGTCACCAAGGCCTACATCACGTCACGGCTAGAGTCAGTCCACGTCATCCTCAGGTAACATACACACACAATACAGAATGTGTGAGTGGATGCAAATGGGTAAAAAATGACGCTGCACATGTCATCAGTTGTCACACTGTCGTCGATTGGCAAAATTGAACCAGATCCCTTCTTTACCTGTAGCCATGTGACACTACCAGTCAATCAACTATCTATGCGGCCAATGATGTTGTTGCTGCATTAAGTAACTCTTCAGCCACTGTTCAAGACTAAAAAGTCAGTGCCTAAAAGCAAATCTAGAGACATTCCAGTTAAAGAATATCGCTGTTGTTAAACTGTTTGGTCAGTGAGGGCTTTTGTCTCACACGGCCACAGAGTCCTCTCTTATTAATCTGGATACATGTGCAAAAAGACAAACTGTAGTTGTAAAGAAGAACACTTTTTGGCATTTTGGAAGCACAGTATTGGTATAAGACACAATAATTTATCCATCATTCAGTAGCAGTTGGAAATGTCCAGAAATATATGTTAAGTATACAGAGTTGGTGACTGCCTTTTGTCACTGAACCACTTAGATACTAAGACATAAGGACACAGCATCTTGTTGATGTACTGATGCCTTGTTTTATACATTTGTCTTGAGTAAATCTAATAAAGGGATTTAAAAAAAACAATGGCTCGATCCGGCACTCTGGATCGGCATCAGTCCGATATTGGTCAAAATTCAGGATCGAATATATAAAAAACACGCCATGAGCACAGACACTTTCTCCTAAGCAATGGCAGCCTGTGATATGTGGAAGGAGAACAGAAGGTATCGGATTTATATCGATATCAAAGCAAATACTCCAATTTCAAGTATCGGTTTTGGACGTGAAAAAGTTATGTTAAGTCATCTGTAATATTATGTCAAATAGTAGATTCTAGAAAATTTAGTTGTAAAAACCCATTCTTTTAAACCTGCTCACAACAGCTTTCTAAATATATACATAAGTAAAAGACTGTAAAAGACTGGGTTTTTTTAAACCCAGTAAAAACTGGGTTTTTTAATTTTAAAAAGTGAAACATATTTGCAATTCTTGGTCCAACTGCAAAAATAATAAAGAATAATTACAGACTCTGCTGTAAAAGTCTGGAAAGCCAGTTTTAAGGTAATTTTACTTACTAAATTTTGGGGTGTTGTCATTTTCTCTTTAGGGATGGATTAGAAGACCCTCTGGATGACGCCGGCCTCGTCCAGCAGCAGTTGGACCAGTTGTCCACCATTGGGAGGTGCGAGTACGAAAAGACGTGCGCACTGTTAGTCCAGCTGTTCGACCAGGCAGCTCAGACCTACCAGGAGCTGCTGCAGTCGACCAACTCCAGTGCAGCCGACATCACTGTACAAGAAGGTACGTCGTGTACGCTGTAAACACACCACAGTTTTGTTTATTGAGTTAAAATCACAAATCTCCTCGGAACCTTCTCTGCTAAGAGAAGAAAGGGAAGACAGTTTTTATTTTTAGGAGTCAATATCCAAGTCATGCCTTCTTTTCATGGCTCTGCAGGTCGGTTGACGTGGCTGGTTTACATAATCGGGGCAGTGATTGGTGGACGGGTTTCATTTGCAAGTACAGACGAGCAGGACGCCATGGATGGAGAGTTAGTCTGTCGGTACGTAGACTGTCATCTTGTGACACTTTGATTCTTTGATGAAGGTCACTAAGACATTTTCTTTGTTGTTGTCAACATGAGTCGAAACACTAATTAACTGGGTTTATGTGTGTAACATCTAAGGTAGGGGTGTCAAACTCATTTTGGTTCACGAGCTGCATGCGCCCTAACAAGATGTCACGTGGACCGACCAATACGGCCATAACATAATTGACTATAAATAACATTAAATCCATGTTTTTCTTCTTCGTTTTCATTCAAACAAGTATATTTAATATGTATTATTATGTATTCATATTAAATAATAATAATAATAATTTAACAAATAATATCCTGAAAATAAAGTGTTTGTGTATTTGTTTATTTTCAAATGAACACTCCAGCAGGTCAGTTTTGACCGTATGTTTGGTACCACTGATCTAAGGTCACACAAAAGCCTTTATTCCTTATAAGTCAGCGGGAATATGTGTAAAATTAAACTGTTGATGGTTTTCTGCAGCTACAGTTTACAGTTATCCCCTGACGGAAAGTAACAGCTGTAACCTCCGTTTTGTTGAACCTTTCAGGGTTCTGCAGTTGATGAACTTGACAGACTCGCGGCTCGCTCAGGCTGGAAACGAGCGGCTGGAGCTGGCCATGCTCAGCTTCTTTGAACAGTTCAGGAAAATCTACATCGGAGACCAAGTGCAGAAATCATCTAAGGTGAGCCAGCGGTGCCCACATTAAACAATGGTTATTGATGCAGCTCGTGGGTTTCCTATTTCCTGAATACATGCCCTTATTGACCCTGCATATCATCTGTCTGTAGGGGGCAGTCAGTTCATGCTGGTCACCTTTCAATGTTGTCATTGCAGAGAATATTTCTAAGAGAAAATGGAGGAAAAAAAGCTACATTTATTTATATATGTGACCAGTCTTAATTTTAGCATGAAATTTTGATTTATTTTTGGTCTTGCTCTAATTACATTGTAAATTCTAACTTGCTGATATAATTTTTTGCTGAATTGACAACATATACAATAAGTAAACCGTTCATCAGCACAAAGTTTATCCTCATAGCAAGCTATTATGAAACATTTTCCATAAACCTGCACTCAGTCACAGGTTCTGTCTTCAAAAACTAAATAAAGTGCTTTGTGACTATAATAAGGTACTAGGAAAAAACTGGGTTCCTGTTTGTCCAAATTCTGACACAAACTCTGCATTACAAAACAAAAATATCTGCAGTTTATTTATTTTATTTTTTTACTGACTTTAAGTAAATAGGAAAAATGCACGGCCTCTCTTGAAATAAAAATGTCTAATAATTACAAAATTAAATATATGCCAATCGTAAACTTGTCTTTCTTATGTAATAAGTTCAAAGGAATTAAACAGTGGTTGTGACCCAGGAATCGACTTCGTCCAAAACATTCCAGGGCTGTTTCCATACGATAATCAAAAAAGAGGAACATTTTAGTTTGGCCATACAAGAGATTTTCTTCTTCAAAAACAACAGCTTAAAACATTCTTCCAACTTTCAGTCCAGTTTAAGCAGTATTAATGTACATGTATTTAAAATGTTCATTAATTGTGTAACTGTCTGCGTGTTCACAGCTTTATAGACGACTATCAGAAGTTCTGGGTTTGAATGACGAGACCATGGTTCTCAGCGTCTTTATAGGAAAAATGTGAGTAAAAGACAAAATGTTTTCTTTATATTCCAGGAATCACTAGTATGTCACAAAAGTAAAAATAATTTTAAAAAAATTAAAGCACTGCCGTGTTCTCCACGACTATTTCAGCATCACTAACTTGAAATACTGGGGACAATGTGAACCAATCACCTCGAAGACGCTGCAGCTACTCAACGACCTCTCGTTAGGATATCCTTTGCCAAAATGTCTCTATGGATTTTGAAGTTAAGTGAGAACAGGCGAATATTGGTTGAAATAATTCACAAAAAAGCTGAAAATTAAGTGAGATGAGAATCTGGGAAAAATCATTACTTATGTTGGTTAAATTTTAATAAAAATGATTTGAAATACATTTAAAGCATACAGAGATAAAGATACATTTTCTTTCTTTTTTTCTTTATATATTTCCTCTGCTGGTTGTAGGCCAACACACTAAATTTATGACGATATAAAACCCATCCAGATGTTATGATTGGCTTGTATTTCAGTTAAAAACCTTCCTGGCTCTGTCTTCTCCTTGACATCGTGTCCGTTCACGTACAGCTGTGTAAGGAAGCTGGTGAAGCTCAGTGCGGTGCAGTTTATGTTAAATAACCACACGGTGAGGTTTTTTTTTTTTTTTCAACTGTCTCTCCCTATTTAAACAAACACAGGTGTTAATGTATATGCTGATGACGTGTTGTTCTCTCTTTTCCCCTCATTATCAGAGTGAACACTTCTCCTTCCTGGGAGTAAACAACCAGTCTAATCTGAGTGATATGAGGTGCCGGACCACTTTCTATACTGCACTTGGGCGCCTCTTAATGGTTGATCTGGGTAAATACACTAAGTGGACTATGGGCTTTTTTTCAAGCCTTGATTTTTCATTGAAAAACGAATATATATATATATATATTATTGAAGTGCTCACCAAAAACATTTTTGTTGCTCATCAACTTGTTCTACAAAACTTTGCTGAACTGAAACCTGTACTACCAGGGTTTACTTTTTATTCTACAGAGTAAACAGAAATTAGTCTGTTGATTTAAAATTAGGCACATTAAAAGTCTTTTTCACTAAATTAGCAAAAAAAAAAACATGTAAATTCCCCCTTTCCAACTGCAAAAACTGTTTTCCATGTATCACGGTAAATCAACAGTGTTCCTTTTTCCTAAGTCTAGGAATTGGGCATTGAGTTTCCTAATCTAAACTTAAAGCTTTAATTGGCATTAAATGGCTGAAATCACTCATTTAAAAATCCTGAAAATGCCAAGATATAAAGGTGAGGATTTTTATCCCCAAATTTTTTTCACCTTTTTCTGATGTTTACATATATGTGTGTGTGTGTATATGTCTGTATATATATATATGTGTGTATATATATACACTATATTACCAAAAGTATTGGCTCACCTGCCTTGACTCATACTATGAACTGAAGTGCCATCCCATTCCTAACCCAGAGTTCAATATGATGTCGGTCCACCTTTTGCAGCTATTACAGCTTCAACTCTTCTGGGAAGACTGTCCACAAGGTTGAGGAGAGTGTTTATAGGAATTTTTGACCATTCTTCCAAAAGCGCATTGGTGAGGTCACACACTGATGTTGGTCGAGAAGGCCTGGCTCTCAGTCTCCGCTCTAATTCATCCCAAAGGTGTTCTATCGGGTTCAGGTCAGGACTCTGTGCAGGCCAGTCAAGTTCATCCACACCAGACTCTGTCATCCATGTCTTTATGGACCTTGCTTTGTGCACTGGTGCACAGTCATGTTGGAAGAGGAAGGGGCCCGCTCCAAACTGTTCCCACAAGGTTGGGAGCATGGAATTGTCCAAAATGTTTTGGTATCCTGAAGCATTCAAAGTTCCTTTCACTGGAACTAAGGGGCCAAGCCCAGCTCCTGAAAAACAACCCCACACCATAATTCCTCCTCCACCAAATTTCACAGTCGGCACAATGCAGTCTGAAATGTACCGTTCTCCTGGCAACCTCCAAACCCAGACTCGTCCATCAGATTGCCAGATGGAAAAGCGTGATTCATCACTCCAGAGAACGCGTCTCCACTGCTCTAGAGGCCAGTGGCGGCGTGCTTTACACCATTGCATCCGACACTTTGCATTGCACTTGGTGATGTGTGGCTTGGCTGCAGCTGCTCGGCCATGGAAACCCATTCCATGAAGCTCTCTGCGTACTGTACTTGGGCTAATCTGAAGGTCACACGAAGTTTGTAGCTCTGTAGCAGTTTTAAAGTTGTATGTGTAGTCATGTGTGTGTCTATATACATATACTTAAGCTTAATACATAAGTGTGTATGGATATAGCTGTATGTTAACATAACATGACATTAGGATTTTCCCTAAGATTTAAGTTTATTTAAATTTCACTCTTACTAACAATAAACGTAAATTTTCTCCTTCATTAGGCTTCAAGAACCTAAAACAAGCTGGTATGAAGTTAATTCAAAAGTTAGGAAAATTGGATGTATTTCTCATGTATTCACTGTACTCTGTGTGTTTTGGTGTGTGTGTGTGTGTGTGTGTACAGGTGAGGATGAGGACCAGTTTGAACAGTTCATGTTGCCTTTGACGGCCGCATTTGAGACTGTGGCTCAGATGCTGAGCACAAACACGTTTAATGAGCAGGAGGCTAAGGTGAAACACCACCACAAACACACTCGCACTCTGACACACACACACCTTCATCAGTATCACCTCTGTATTGACAACTAACAATTATCGCACTCCTCTGCCATTTCCTGTAGAGGACGCTAGTTGGCTTGGTACGGGACCTGCGAGGAATTGCATTCGCCTTCAACGCTAAGACAAGCTTTATGATGCTCTTTGACTGGATGTATCCTCTTGTTGTCATGCACAGAGTCACACGTACACAGCTTTTTTTTTTAATCTTGATGTTTCTAAATTGTTTTCCTGAACGCACACCTGCAGTTATCCAGCCTACATGCCCATTTTACAACGGGCCATTGAGCTGTGGTACCACGACCCAGCATGCACCACACCTGTCCTTAAACTCATGGCTGAGCTCGTCCACAACAGGTGAGGAGGATCATAGAGTCTGTCTGGTCACATGACCAGAGAACAAACCCTTGCCTCTTATTTTGTGTGTTTTTTTGTATCTTGAATCTCCTCCTGTTTATTCTTGTTTCCTTGGGGTCTTTTATGACCCCACTTTGTTCCTTGTCTTCTTTTTATACTCCTTCATTTTAGTTTTTTCACCTACTTTTCTCTTCTTTTGACTCCTCATCCTCTTTCTCCATGCCTTAAGTCTGTTCCTCTGTTTTTTCCCCAGATCTCAGAGGCTTCAGTTTGACGTGTCGTCACCAAACGGCATCCTGCTGTTCAGGGAGACCAGTAAGATGATCACTACGTACGGTGAGTTCTCCAAAAACAAAGTCCTCTCCTTTGTCCTTATGACATTCATTAAACTCCGTTCCACTTCTTCCAGGCCTGGTCCTGAATTACAATAACAGTACTGCCTCGTCACAGCTTGTTCGAGGACAGTTTTCTTTTTCTTTTTTCTTCTTTTTTTCTTCACCTGTGCCTTGGTCTTTGTTGTCTTCTCCATCAGGGAACCGGATCCTGACGTTAGGTGAGGTTCCAAAGGACCAAGTGTACGGTGTGAAGCTGAAGGGAGTCAGCGTGTGCTTCACCATGCTGAAGGCCGTGCTCAGCGGAAACTACGTCAACTTCGGTGTCTTTCGTCTGTACGGTGACGCCGCTCTGGACAACGCACTGCAGACCTTCATCCAACTACCGCTGTACAT